TGCCTTTTTCCCCAGCTTCTCCACAATGTTACAGTTTTTGACTGGCATGTCTCTTTGACTAGTGCATCTTTGAGCCTATATTTAGTGTAAGTAAAATACTTAAGTACTGTTACAATCAGATACTCCAAGACATTAACTCAAGTTGTTTTGGAATTGGTGACTTGTAACGTGTAGTGGAGTAATTTTCACTGTAAGGTATCTGTACTTTTACTCAAGTATGGTTTTTAGGTACTCTTTACACCTCTGATCACTGGTGTAACCGTGTTTTTTTCCCTGTCACATTAAATAAAATGTGTCACATGTGACATGTTAATGATTTTACATCCATTGATTTCTGCTACACTCAAGAGTTAAGATTAAAAGGATTGCATCATTACTTGTTTATAACTGTTTTTTCAAATTTTTTCATTGTTATAACAAATACATGGTTGCGCAAATGAACTAACATCATTCAATCACACTTTTAACAAACCTGATTAGAATAAATAAAAAACAATCTCCTTATTTGTTGCATTATCATTATTTTTCTGTAACTCTGACTACATGTACAAAAAAAAAATCGAGAAATAATATTTTATAAAAACCTTTAAAATTTGCAAAGAAGGTAACACCAGTCACAAAAAAATGGTACATGTGGTTATGTGAATGCGAGTTCCTTAGCAATTATTTGTGAATCACAGGGGCTTTATATACACGAGATGATGACATGACTGCAACCAGCAATGAGGCCGAAACCAGCACATCCAGTGCAAGAAAGCTTCGGCTTTTTAATTTTACTTAACATTATTCTATTTATCCATTATACTGAAGAGACCTTTTTGAAAGATATTCCTTATTTGTTGCATTATCATTATTTTTCTGTAACTCTGACTACATGTGCTGAAAAAAATAAATAAATAAAAAATAAATAATAATAAAAAATAAAAAAATAAAAATAATAATAATAATAATAATAATTCATAAAAACCTCTAAAATTGCCAAAGAATTAAAGTAACACCAGTGACAAAAAGATGGTACATGTGGTCTTTAAATAAATGCACAATTTTTTTTTTTAAATCATTAAGCCGTCATTTATTTGTATTCATAAAGTCAAAAGGTAATCTAATAATGTGTCTAAGTTTAAATGTTAAAAAAAGGAATACATTTTAAGACGTTGCCATTCCAAAAGTGGATGTTTCTGTAGAATGACCCAGGGGTTTTCAAACTGTTCTGGAGCCTCCCTAGAGATGGATCGTTCTTGAATGATTCCTTTATTGCGTTTGTCACGTGACAAATTAACGAAATTGAGTGCGACGTCAGGTGCGTTCAAATTAATTTTTTTGCGGAGCAATATGGCGACCTTTACTGCATAAAACGCAACTTTTTTTCTACAAAATGATGTGAGCGATTTTGTGCCTCTTTGGGATGGCACCACAAGGCGTCGTTCACTTGCAGAACACAAGCTTCTGGAGGGCGCGTAGGGCTGAACTAGTGAGTTTAAGTATATTGGTGCAGCAACAGTGGTTGTCTTGTAGGCAAACATCAGTACCTTGAATTTGATGCGATTGGCAATCAGTGCAAACTGATGAAGAGAGGCGTGATGTGAGCTTTTTTTGGCTCATTGAAGACCACTCTGGCTGCTGCATTCTGGATCAGTTGCAGAGGCTTGATAGTACATTCAGGAAGGCCAGCCAAGAGAGCATTACAAAAGATGACGGATCCTAAAGATGACATGTAGATGGAGAAAAGAAGTGGTCCAAGCACTGAGCCTTGAGGAACCCCAGTAGCAAGAAGTTGTGACTTAGAAACCTCGCCCCTCCAAGACACCCTGAAGGACCTACCTGAGAGGTAAGACTTGAACCACAGGAGTGCGGTTCCTGAGATGCCCATCTTCATGAGGGTGGACAGGAGGATCTGGTGGTTAACGGTGTCAAAAGCAGCAGACCGATCCAGCAAGATGAGTAATGAGGATTTGGAGGCTGCTCTTGCCAGTCTCAGGGCTTCAGTAACCGAGAGCAGTGTAGTCTCAGTTAAATGGAGCACTTTTGAAGCCAGATTGGTTGCTGTCCATGAGGTTGTTCTGTGCAAGAAGCATAGGCGAGCGTAGGTTACGCCGAAAGGTGACCTGCGGAGGAGTGTGCGTTGTGTCCGGAGTCAGTGTGAGGTTAGAAGTGATGAGAAAGTGGTCTGAAGTGTTA